ACTTTAGCGTTTCTGCTAGAAAGCTCAGTACAAAAAGATTTTATTTTCCAACATTACAGAAAGTCTCAGCCTATGTCAAAATAAAAAAAAATGGGGGTTTGTTTAACATTTTCTTTTCTAAATATATTTATTTATCAGTGTTTTTGTACTGATTAAAGTTCACTATTTAATCGTCAAAGGTTTGAAAAAAGAACATTGTCTAAATGTTTGCTCTACAAAAACCTGGCATTTTACAGAGGAATACAAACTTTTAAAGGATCACACTACAGTATAAACCCATGTAAAAAAATTACTTACTGCCTACTGTACAAGTCAAGTGAAAGAAATTATTGAAGATAAAAAAAGAGTTAACACTGGGGAAAAAGCTCCCCCTAAATGGTTTTGGTAATTATTCAAAATCTAAATAATGAAGATGTGTTGGTTCTAGCAGGTTTAAGTGATTAATTTTTTATTTATTTATACAAATATAATCTAGGTTATTAATTAAAATATTTCATATTTTGCTTTTCCCTGAAAGTCATGAGGTGCTCCTGCATGAGATTACTTAAGGGAAAACTACTGAGTGAAAGCTTATACCCCACCTGCTGCTATGAATACACAACAACACCTGCTAGTGTGTGCTTTTTAGCCCTGACAGCTACTGGCTTTTATGACCCCACCTGATTCAAGTGCACCTTGACTGGGTCAAATAGGGCGGAGCAGGATCCCTCCAGCCCTGCCCTCAAACCTCCCGCCTGTCTCTCTGGTGAGCGGCTGAAGGAAGGAACAGCTGCAGTGTGAGCACAGGAGCAAAGCCCTCTCAGTGCATAAGGATTTCAACTATGTCTCCATTAGACCTCTGTGAGCACACATCAGTACCAAATATAGCCCAATTAACGTCACCCCGCAGGCCACGCCTAGAAAACCCCCACTGCTCCCCCTCCAGGGGGCTGTGTGTATGAATCAATTGTAAAGGTCAGGGTTCTATTTACTTTGACCCTCTCTTTCTTTTTGAGGCACATACTACCAATCTTAGCGATAATCCCCTATGATTCTGAAATGCAAATTAGTAACGAGAAGAGTATAGATCTCCACAGCTGAAACTTTGTTAGTAAAGGCTTAATTAGGAAGGAAAGCAGAGGAAAATTGGACAAGTTGGCATAATCTGATACAATGCAGTCTGAGTTCTTTTATTTTAAAGCTAAACTTCTGTCCCTGTATGTAAATTTGTTTAAGCGTAGCGTTATATTTTTCCCTTAGGAAGCTGGACATATGAAAAACTGTTTAAACTCAAACAAAATCTCCCAGACTAAATACCAACCGGAAAACAACCCCAACCAGGAAAGTGTCTTCCCGTTATTGCATAAAAATATTCAGTTTTAAATCAGATACAAAACAAAATACCAAAAATAAGTTCAACAGATCTGAAATAAGGCTATTTGCAGGTGCCTCTTTGGCTTTCAGTTGGACTTAACAGACAAGCTGACGTAATCGAACGTTTAAATTTTCCTGCTCATATGTCATCCTGCGCTGCACTTTATTATGACATCGGCCACTCTCTCATTCATGATCCGACTTATAAGGCAAGGACACTCCGTTCGCACACACACAGACACGCACACCTGGAGAACACTTAGCCTGCCAGGCATGACCACTGTTTTCCACAACACAAACAAGTCGCAGGATGTCTCTGGCCTTGGCTGGCCATATCTGTGGCTTAGGCAGCGACATGCTTGAATGGAGCCCATTGTCAATCTGTATGTCACCTACTATTTTGTAGTGGCCTAATGGCAAGAGACCAGAAGTAGTTTGCTCATAGTACTATATATATATATATATATATATATTCAACCAAATGCAAGAGGAGAGGATAGCATTGATCTTACGTGGTAGATAAAAATAAACAAAAGGTGTGGCATTGCCTCTTTGTGTTTATTATATGTCTTTGGGCGAAATTAAACATCAAACAATAATGCTAGAGTCAGCGAGAGGTTCAGAAAGAAATGTTTTAAATTGTGTTCAGGCTAACATATGCTACATTTACTTCTATATGAAGGTAAAGAAAAATGTAAAAAAAAAAAAAAGCTAAAGTCACCAAAAAGGGATTATATTTAAACACATAACACCATAGTCATGCAAAAATGTATAAAATAATAGGAATCATAGAAGGAAGTAATGATAGCTTAGTCTCCAGCCTCTGATAGATCAAATGTCACTGTTTACATGTATCTTTATCCAATAATAAAGGATTATTTTCCATGGACAAACTGTCTAGAACTCATGCTTTCACAGCAGCCTTTCATTGTGTTAGTTCTTCATAATATGTTTGGATGAGAGGGAAAACTGAATGTATTGTTGTTAAGTTGAAGTTAAATGCTCTTTCATTCATTTGGCTCAAACAAGAAAGAAAGAAAGAAGAAAAAAAGGACTATAGTATTCATTAATGGATGTTTACAGACAGAAAGCACATTTTAAAAACCTGCATTTAAAAAAACATAATAAAACAACACGTTAGAAATATTCTTTTAAGCGAGACACTTATGCATCCACGATTGATTTGCGTCCCCACTCCTTGCCCAATGAACAAAGCAGATGAATGTTGAAATTAAGGTATTATGTTATTTATTTATGTTAGTAATGAAGATATTATTTTTCTGGCTAAAGAAAAAAGGTTTTGCTGTTTAAATAACACAGAATCAATTGACTAAGCAACTAAATGCTTGTATGGAAGTGAGAACAGTTCTCCCTTTTGTAACACCTCCGTCACTTTATTCCCCACATCTGACCTCAGCTGAATCCCAAAAATGAGAATGATTGCACCTGATCATGTATGTAGTAGTATATACTCGCCAATACCTTGTTAAAATAATCTAACCTTGTCAAAAAACTAAACAAAACTCAAAAAACACACTGTGCTTTGAAGAGAATATATCTACTGAACTATTGGATAAAGTAAAAGTTAAAAACCTCATGGGAAACATTTAAAGGGGTTCACTTCCAGGACTACTTACTGTATTCTCTTATCAGCCATAAAGAATATCTTAACAAACATATTTCCTTTCTTTTATTTAGCCAAGACTTTAACAATTATTTTTATCAAAGGAAGCCTTTGAGACTGGCAAAAAGGCTTCCATTCAGAATACATGGTCTGTTTTAGAATAAACACACAGGCCTTCGTTGTTGTGTTAGAAATCATCTTTAGTGTCTCTACTGCTGAACCAGTCTCTCTTTGTTTGCGTACCAAGCAGAAGCTGAAGAACAAGCTCAGATAATCAGTGTGAAAAGCTCCAACGTACACAAACCAACTTCCCACTTGTTAATCCGTTTAACAAAATATGAAATTTACAGACAAATGTTTTGCTTTGAGAAACAAATATACTATAAACTGGGCTGGATTACTGAACAATGAAAGTCATCAGCAGGAACTTTTCAGGACCAGTAACTGGCAACCTCATCTGTAGTTCAGCAATGTGAAAAAAGACTGAAAACAAAGTTTAAAACCATCTTCTACAGTGATATATATTTAGCTGTTGCATTTTACCAGCTAAAATGCTCTGACATCACTAGCCCCTAAATGCACCTGCAGCTTGGGTCTGGAGAAATGGTTTCCATATCAAAATGTGCCGACCAACTGGTACATCTGCAGCATAGCTTCTATTTAACTCTTCCACTGTTTCCAAATAGTATTTAAAGGTTTGGATGGTGGATCCCTTTTTGCTTAGTTTAGTGTTTCCATTTTTATAAATGGTGGCTTGATATTTGCATGCACGCTCTTTGTGGATATTTCTGAAACATTACAACAAAGGTTAACTTCAGGGACTGTTATTCATCGCAAGATCTTCTGACATTAAATCCCATTAAATCAAAACAGCACAACATTTTCTCATTTGGGAAAAGTGTGTTGCATTAAGTCCTATCTTGGTGCTCTTTTAATGTGAGCTATAGTGCTGTGTTTTGCACTTTCTGTTGGTTACACTGAAATGTTTTAGATCTTTTGATAGTTTGATTGATTTCCATTATGAGACAACGATAATTCAGTTAGTCTTTTTCTGATAATTATAATAATCTGAACTTTTAAA